ATGGAGCGGTGGCCTCCAACCTACTAGCGATGGCCTCCAACCTACTAACGATGGAGCGGTGGCCTCCAACCTACTAGCGATGGCCTCCAACCTACTAGCGATGGAGCAGTGGCCTCCAACCTACTAGCGATGGAGCGGGGGCCTGCAACCTACTAGCGATGGCCTCCAACCTACTAGCGATGGCCTCCAACCTTGAGATGGATATGGAAATTGGCCTTGCAATCTTGCGTTATCTTGCGTTTTGTTCTTGGGGTTGGTCTGGCTGCAAATGCCGGAGATGAGGAGGGTAACACAGGGAGGAAGCTGCTGTTCCGTTCACAATGGCAGGGCAGAACTGTCCTTAAAGAACCCTTCAATACCCTTCGCATGATCCATTCAGCAACAGTTTCGAGCTCCTGCAGTTTCCTGGAGACCATAGATTAAAACATAGAGAGCTCATTGTCTGAAAATCCTAAACTGACAAACAGTTGCAATTCTATGAATCAATCATTGAATCGCTAGAAATCAGGACAGGTCACCCACCTCAACACGTCCTTTACTACATATACACGCTTGGCACAGCTAACATATACTTGGATGGCTCTGTGCTAAATATACTAGACCAAAGGTGGCTAACTCACGACATATTAGCCCATATCTACTATGCATGGGACAAACTAAACCACAAAGCATAAAGCATCAAGAGAAAGAAAAGAAAGAACTGTTTTCCTAAAAAGTCTAGGAACCAAATGATTAGTGCGAGCACTTCTTCAGTGAGCTTATCCTGCGTCTTAGCTAGTAGCGTCCAGTACCTAATAGCTACTAGCTACTGACTGTAGCCACCTCTTCCTAGCAGCCTGCACAACCCCAATAGCGATGGCCCCCCAACCCGCCCAGCTCCGGCCTCTCGGCATCTACGCTCGAAGGCCCGGATTTCCTCCGCCTTTGCCCTCTGCACTTCCATCTGCTTCCGCGCCGCCACCCCTGATTCACCCAGCTTCCAACATCGGAAAAGAAACAAAAGAAAGGAGCTGAAGGAATCAAAGGTAGAAGGAACTTTAGTCTGGTAATCGGACTGAAGACCCTTTAGTCTAAAGGTAGAAGGAAAGAACGAACCCAATGCATGGCACCATGGCTTGAATCTAGAAAAGAACACGGCACGCTGCAAAAACCACGTGCTCGACGGGACATGTCGTGGCCGTGGTTCTGTCTGCCGTTTCACCACGGCCATCGTCACGGCCCATCGGCCTCTGCTTCTCAACAGCGTAGGCAGCAGTGCATCCCCACACGGTGAGCTTCCTCCCAAATCGAGATTGGATGCAGCCCCTTCCCACATCTACATTGACTCATGATATGCACATCTTGGTTTATCACATGTCACATGTTTTGACCCTGCCTGCGGCACTTGCCGCGTGAACCAGTTGAGGCTTGGCCTCTTCACCGTGGGGGTCTTTCGGAGGACTCCGCTTCAGCTGATTCAGCTGACTCGCAACCACTCCTCGGTCTGATGTGGAAGGGGGTCCATTCGTTCGCCACTCGGATCACGTACTGTAGCTGGGTAGGCCGTAGAGGTGGCCGCAAGGTAAATAGCTAGTAGAAGTTAGGTAGCTACTACCTAGAACGCAGGATAGCTATTCATTTGGCAGACTTTTGAGGGAAGCTGAAGTTCCTGAAATTCGGCCCAGGCACGGATCTTCAGAGGTCGTGTTGGTGGTGTCTGCGCTTGTGGAAGGATCTGAGAGGAGCTGAACAGAAGCAGGTTCAGCTGGGCTGCAGCTTGGCATAGCTAGCTGTCTGGGCCGTCTGGCTACTGATTTCGTCTTCTTCTTTCGTCTATCGGACTCTGTTCTCTGTGACTTGTTCGAAGGTTTGGACCCTCGAAACGGGGTGGACTTGGAATCGGAAGCTGGCTTTTGGGGGGAAGGCCCTCACCCTTCCACCCACTTCCTCCAACCTACTAAAGATGGCCTCCAACCTGGCAGCTGTTCATCCCCATCATCCCCATCATCCACATCCCCGCGTTCTCATGCGAGCTCAGTGGCTGTGTTCCTGGGACTGTCAGCTTCAACGACCTTTGGGATGGTGGCTCGCCGTTCCGGTTGGAAATCAAAACCTCGCCAGGCCGCCAGGACTACCCGTGACCGCCCAAAGAGTGCCATGCACTGCGGTCTCTGACTCAGGCCCGTACGTGGCGTCTTGGGAAAAGGATGCGGGGCCCGGGTGGTGTACGCAGGCAATGACACCTGTGCCAAAGAGTCTCACGAATTCTCTGGACCAAACCCTTTTCAGCCCCGAACGCGCTGGGTTTGAATCCTTCCAAATTGCTGCCTGGAATGATTCTTCAACCCTCGAACACGTCGGAATATCGTCATTCAGAGGGGAGCCCTTTCTGGGACCTGTTCCTTGGACTGGCGCAACCTTCGAAAAACGACCAAATCGACCAACTGGATGCGCGCGTTAGGCGTTGGATGTGGGCCGAAGATATCCGCCAAATGTTAATGGAAAACATGGCAACGACGTAACAGGCGGATGGGTTGTCATTGACTGGACGGCGTTGACGCTGTTCGTAGTGTTCGTCTACCAGCATCGGGCTGGAAACAACTAAAACATCATATATGTTGTCGTTTGCATGCAAAGAAATACTTTGTTGTTCCTTTGTTATGGTGATGTTATTGACTTTAGCAGTGGAGTGTGTCAAAATCAAAGATATTCAACACCATACATGGCCGTGAGTCAAAATCGGCAGACACGCTACATGAACAGAAGAGACTACAGATGTCAACTGTGAAACATCGATGGTTTCGTGGGGAGGTTGTGACCCACTGCCACATGCAAACGAGGGATTTGGCGCCTTCATACAACACCATTCATGACACGCCGTCGTGATGGTAAGATTCGTTCTTTCGTGCACGCTGGCTCAAACGAACTGGCTGGCACACTAAACAAAGTATGCTGTTTATCCACGAGTTCTTCTATCTTTACTCTCTCAAATACAGCGTGCTTTTTGTGTAGACACTCTGTAGAGAGGGGCAGCACGCACACAAAGACCTGAAGAAACTCACAGTGTATTCGGGTGTGTTGCACTGCCCTGTGGGCACAAGAACCCTTGTACTGCCCCAGCACAAGCAGCCAAAAAGAACATGTCCGAACAGAACATCAGTGCATACATTGCATTGCAAGCAGTCGGTGTGGCCACAAACTAGTGTGTACTCTCTTGGAGATGTAGGTGAAAAACACACTAGGGGAAAGATGCGGGGGGAGGTTGTGACTTTACAAAACATGATGTTGCGGAAATACGTTTTGTGCATTGTGTGTGTGCTATTGTGGCACGAAAAGGTCACACAATAATCCTAAGGAACGTCAGCTACTGCGGAGATATGTGTCATCAGTCTCATTCCTGGAGCCGCAGGAGCCGCCCCCAACCGGGCCCAAAAGGTTTGTGCAAAGCTCCTGAAGCGGCATCATTACACAAAATGCCGCACAAATCGGCACGTGTGGCATTATCTGTCCAGTGTACAGGCCTGTGTGGTATGCATACAGTTTGGGATGATTTTAGGGGCGACAAGACGTGAAAGGGTTGAATCAAGCGGACTTGGAAAGCAGCTTTAAAGAAACACACGTCTTATAGCCGTATAGCTTTGTTTGGGTTCAATGTGGTCAAACACATACACCAAACCGAGAAAACACGCACCTTCACGCAAAACAACATGACCTCATGCCGCCGCCATCATCTCACAAAGCAAACCATCTCTCGTCTGAAGGAAATGACACCAAAGCCGGTTCTCGCCGGGTTCCCGTAGCGGAGTCACCGGACTGGTGGCCCAGGTCTAAATTTTTCGTTGAGAGGTGAGGACTGGTGAGGTCATACCATGCTTCGGTTCGAGTGACATACCCACAGTAGCGATTCGTTTAGAAACGGTCGCGCGCGCGCGCACACCAGGTGCGACATCGGGACCATAGAGAGACCCTTCCGAGTGTGCCGCGCCAGAGCAAAAGGAACCTAATAGCGATGGCCTCGGCCTCCAACCTACAAGCGATGGCCAATGGCTACAACTTCCGATCGGACTTCGGGGTAATCTGCCTGCCGGACCACCTGTACCGGCGACGAAGGCAGGCTTGGCTGCGAGAAGAGTCGTATGCAAGAGGCCTTGGGAACACAGAAGCACAGCAAATTAAGTGAAATAGAGCAAACAAACAACACAAAACAACATGTGTGTGGCAAATAGACCCACAAGATTGAGATAGTTAACTTCGATCTGTTGCATGAATCTGTCATATATCAGTCACAAGTGTCATGGCTCATACTGAGTCATACGTGTTATACATGTGTAAAGCCAACAAGTGTCATCAGATCCCCTCCCCCCAAAAAAAAAACAAACACGAAAGGCCCATTGAAACAGGTGAGTCATTGTTCTACGATATTCACATAAAATATATGTTATACTATACTCTCCCTGGAACTAACATGGAAGTGGAAAACAACCTGTTTGTAGTGGAAAATGATCTTGCAAGGGGCCATGTTCCACTTCCATGTTAGTTCCAGGGGGTGTAGCTGCTTTTTGTTCCGGATCCTTCTTGAGGCCCCCAACTGCAGGGAAACTCCCGTCACTCCGCACACTTCGGTGTGTTAGAAGAGGACTTGGCGAAGCTGACCTCGACCACACAAGGATAGGTATAAGAGTTTCATATAAAGGACCCAATTAAGAATAAACTGCAACTGGTTTTGCTGATCTGCTAATGAATTGTTCTCTTCTTTCGTTTCTAAGACCATTGTGCCCCTTGTGGTCATTCCTAAAGAATCTTCTCTTTTTCGCCCTCCAAATTGGACCTCCAAATCGAAAGAACCTGAGGATTCGGCGGAGGCAGCACCACCGGAGTCACCCAATAGGCCCGCCTCGCACGTGCCACCGCTGGCTCTGAGGTTGCATCCATGTACTGTCCATGTACTACAGATTGAGGCCATCGTTATTGGGCGACTAGTAACAAGTGCCACGCTAGTAGTAACAAGTGCCTTACTAGTAGTAACAAAAAGCTATTAGAATTTACTTTAAATTAATAGCTTCCTGTTACTACTAGTAAGGCACCTATTACTAGTAGCGTGGCACCTTGTTTCTACTAGGCGTCCTTGTTACTAGTACTGCATCCTTTCAGACTTCCGGGCTCACGAGACGGGTCACTCCGGGTTCACGGACCTGCCCTGACTTGTGGTATCTCAGAGCACCTTCGGGCTGATTTCTGGCCAAGTCGCGGGGCTGAGGGTTGCACAAAGGCTCCCATCTGACCCACAAGTCAGGGGCCTCAGAAGCTCTGCCGTTGGAAAGCTTTGCCATGCTAAGCTGCTAAAAGTAAGATTGTCTCAAAAGAATTTGAGTATCTGGTTTCCCCAGCAGAACTAGACCATGGGTGCTGAAAACCGCGATGAGATCCCTAAGGCGAGGGCGTCTAAGACTTACGCTCGGGCGACCATCCCGCCAAGGGCGATAGAAACTAGGGCCGCATTGGGCCGTTCCACTCGGGTTGACTCGTTTCGGCCATACGTTCGCAATGGACTACTTACTCGTCGCTTGCGGACGCTATGCTCGGTGGACATCGCAAGTAGGTTGGAGGCCATCGCTACTAGGAACAAGGACGCTACTAATAATTAAGAGCCTTTAGAAGTCATCGAAGCCGTGTTCGCCGCTTCTTGGTTCTCGGAAGCTTCATCTGGGATCAGCGTAGGGGGCCTAGGCGGCCTAGCTGTCTGAGACTGTGCCAGGTCAAATCCCTTGAAAAGTCTTGTGCTGAGTATGGTTCTTTCTTCATGTTTGCTTCCTTGAACCAGCCATGATACTCCAACTCCAGTCGTGATTTGGATGGAAATCAGGGAGGACATGTTAGACATGTCTGCCAGTCGGACAAACAGTTCTGCCAGCAAGAGCACGTTTTCTTCGCGGGGTGTCCAGAAAGACTTTAGCTCAGCATCGCTGAAGGCCATCAACTCCTCGCATCAAGTGCAGCTAGCAGCCATAAAGGTCATGAACTTCTGTGACCTTTCGCATTAGGTTGGAGGACATCGCTCTTAGGTTGGTTCACATGTGATCCTTCAAGCTTCTGTGACCTTTCGCACACCACAGCTGGCACCTCTGCGAGCTCAAGTCGCCTTGAGCCATCAGACCCCAACACTGCCAGCATAGGCAACGAAGCAAAGGGCGGTGGATTCATAGCATCAAGCAAAGCCTTGCAGTTCGTGGCTCAAGCAACAGGTGATGCAAGCGAGAACGAAACGCTGTCGCTTAGAAACCACCTCCCATCCCTGCATGCACCAACAAGAGTCTCCTGGTAAGTCCTAATAGTATCCGTCCAATTGCTGAGCGTCGCACGGCGCCACCATTTGCGCTGAAATCCTCCACATCTATATACCGCCAATGCAGCCCCTCTTCCAGCCCCAAGCTGCGCAGCCGGCGGCATAAGACCTATCACAGGTCAACCGCTAGAGTCAAGGGTCGAATGTGAACCAACCTAAGAACGATAGCCTCCAACCTAAGAGCAATGGCCTCCAACCTAAGAGCAATGGCCTC